GCCTATGCATGCATCACATCAGTTACATTGTTGTTACAAGTATTGAATAAAATCCTGTATGTCTGTTTTTCAGAAGCTTTTCCAAGACCTTGGTGTGATAGTGATCAACAAACTGCAAGGTAACCAAATGTTCACCTGTTGAATTGATTTTTTGATGATTTACAATGCAATGGGGGTATTCAAAGTTGGACCATAAATGCATAAACATAACTTGATGAATAAATTTGGGGGGTTAGTTAAACGACTCCCAAAAAATGGAGACCCGACTCCCAACCCCCGCAATCCCCGAATTTTGGGAGTCGAACCCCCAAAACCTTTGATTGGTTTGGGAGTCAACTCCCTAAGAAAAAAAATAAAATAAAAATGAAAATCCCCGGTCAAATACCCAGGGCAGCGGCCAGGAAAATTCCTCCCGGCCACTGAGGTACGCTCTCAACGGCTAGGAGTTGACCCCTCAGCCATGAGAGTGTACACCTCAATGGCCGAGAGGAATCCTCTTGGCCATCAAGGGTACATATACACTCTCAACGGCCGATGGAAACTGCCTCGGCTGTTGAGGTGTACACACCTCAGCAACTGAGACGGTTCCCCTCGGAGTTGAGGGTACACACTCTCAACGGCCGATGGAAACCGTCTCGGCTGTTGAGGTGTACACAACTCAGTGGCCGAGACAATTCCTCTCAGCCGTTGAGGATATACACTCTCACCGGCCGAGGGAAACCACCTCGGCCGTCGAGGTGTACACTATCCGCGGCCGGGATGCAGCTCTCGGCCGTTGAGGTGTGCACTCAGCAGCCGAGTTTCTCTGAGTGTACACCTCAACGGCCGTCGAGTGTACCCTTGACCATTGAGGTGTGTACACCTCAAACGGCCGAGATGGTTTCCATCGGCCGTTGAGAGTGTGTACCCTCAACAGCCGAGAGGAATTGTCTCGGCCGTTGAGAGTGTATAGCCTCAACGGCCGAGAGGAATTGTCTCGGCCGCTGAGGTGTGTGCACTCTCACGGCCGAGGGGTCAGCTCCCGGCCGTTGAGTGTACCTGATCAGCGGCCGCTGCCCTGGGTATTTTGGGTCATCGACCCCCAAACCCTGGTCGGTTTGGGAGGCCGACTCCCAAACCAACCGGGGATTTTGATTTTTTATTATTATTTTTTCTAGGGAGTCGACTCCCAAACAAATCAAAGGTTTTGAGGGTTTGACTCCCTTTTTTCGGGGAATCTGGGGCTTGGGAGTCGGCTCTCCACTTTTTGGGAGTCGTTTAACCAAGCCCCTAAATTTGTGTTTATAAATTAATTCAAACATAAATTATGTAAGCAGTTCTGTGAAAAAAAAATCATTTGTCAACTTGTGTTTATAAGTTTATGCACCAACTTTGAATATTACTAATGCCAATATGGTTAACAATAGGGGCTTGGAAAAACAACTCCCGTTTTTTTGCCAACAAATCCCAATGACTGTCAGCAAACATCTGTTGGAAGTTGTCTTCCAAAGTGAGGGCAGATTCTGGGAGCTGTTGGCCCAATTTCTTTTTCTTTTTCTTTTTTTTTTGTCGGGGGGGGGGGAGTCAACTCCCCAAACCACCCCTCATGTATTAGGGGGGTTGGTAGTTGCTCCCACTTGACAGGAAGGAACCCCTTCTGGTCAGTGAGAAAGCTAAACCTCATCAAACGGAAGGGATTCCTTCTGGTCAATGAGGAAGAATGAACTCGGCCACCAGAAGAGATTCTTTCTGGTTGATGAGGAAGATTGACATCATCTACCAGAAGAAATCCCTTCTGGGCAAAGAGGTTTAGCTTCCTCATCAACCGGAGGATCAACTGGAGGAGAGTCCTGTCGCTTGATGAATCCCACACTGAAAACCCCCCAACCTCATTGACTGGAAAGGATTCCTTCTGGTCAATGAGGCATAGCTTCCTCATTGATCAGAAGGGATTCCTTCCAGTCGATGAGGAGGCTAAACCTCATTGATTGGAGGAATCCCTTCTGGATGATGAGGTATAGCTTCCTCATCAATCTGAAGGACTCTCCTCCGGTCAATGAGGAAGCTAAACCTCTTCAACCCAAAGAAATCCCTTCTGGTTGATGAGTTCAATCTTCCTCATCAACAGGAAGGAATCCCTTCCGGTCAATCCGGGATATCTTCCTCATCGGCCAGAAGGAATCCCTTCTGTTTGATGAGGTTTAGGTTCTTCACTGACCAGAAGTGGTTCCTTCTGGTAAAGTGGGAGCTACTACCAAACCCCCTCATACATGGGGGGTGGTTTGGGGAGTTGACTCCAAAAAAAACAAAATTGGGCAGACGACTCCCAGAATCAGCCCGACAACTCCCAACAGACGTCCACTGATGGTTGTTGGTAGTCGTTGGCAAAAAACGGGAGTTGTTTTTCCAAGCCCCTAGCAATATTGGCCCAATGTCTCTGGGAGTTGTTTTTTAAATCCTGCATGTGTTTTTGACACTCCAACAAGATTTATTTATTAGAAGTGAGTATAGAAGTTATCCCATAGCATTTTTTTTTCTATTATTGAGGTTCCTTGATAATATGTGTGGTAAAAACCACTGGTGATGTGGTGGCCAGCCGCAATCAATGGCAGTGATCAGATTGGTGGAAAAGACATGAAAATTGCCATTTTTGGGTGTTTTATATGCAAATATCGGGTTAAAAAGGGCGCCTTTCGAATAACACTGTGAAAGATTGTTTTCCATGGAATTTTTTCATTCAAATCAGTAGTGATATGGTGGCTTGCACCTATAAATGACAGTGAAATTAGTACAAAAGAGGTGAAAATTGCCAATTTGGTGTGTTTTCTGTGCAAATCAGGGGTCACAAAGGATGCCTTCTGAAATGAAATGGTGAAAATTTGGTGTTTTTCATATAATAATCCATGAGAATCAATAGTGGTCTGGTGGCTCAAAACTAAACAACAGTGAAGTGGGTGAAAAAGTTGGGAAAATCATCAGTTTTTGGTGTTTTCTATGCAAATCAGGGGGTCACAAAGGGTGCCTCTTCAAAGTGAATCCATTGTAATTACACACCTAATCTTGATGAATTGTTCCAAGGAAAACATGTTAGTGTCATTCAATTTCAAAAGGCAACCTTTTTGATAGAGATGGCCTCAGGGTATCTGTTGCGGATACCCACTATCCGCTGGCGGATACCCACCAAAGGATTCAGATTTGGGTGCAGATGTCCAATTTTCCTCAAAATCCTAGCTGAAGTCCGAGTATCTCCAGGGATACCTGTTGTGGTAAGACCAATCATAACCTTTTACACTTTACAAGCACCTTTCTGGATCCATTTCACATCACCTAGGTCCTACATATCATAACAACCATCAAATCCACATCCTACATATTTAATACACTCATGGCCACCTCCAATCATCCCATAGGCACTTCCATCAGAATCACAAAGGCCAACAACCCATCAGTAACACTCTACATGGATTACCAGCCACGATTGGTAATAAAATAAACACAATTCAGGTATAAAGTGGAAGAAAGTCCACCATCCAAGTTGGGAAAGAGCCCTGTTCTGAATCGTCTTTTTTTCTCCTTATTACATACCATGGCAAATTGTTACAGTAGCCACATATGTCATGTTTCCATCCCTGTTGTTTCAGCCTTGTTTTCCTTTATGCTACATATGTCATTCCCAAGCCAGTCTGCCAAGCCATGTTGTTGCCTTGTTACATGTAACCTGTGATGATGCCTTGCCCCTTGTTTTCTCATCCCCTCCCAAAAGACTTATATGTAGTGCTCTCTTGGCCCTGGCCATTTGTCCCCCATTAGAGTTGTCATTATTGCTCGCTGCTCATTGATTTAGCATTACTTACTTGGAATATATTTATCATCACTGAGTTAAGACATTGCACACAGAATTATTATCCTCATACCTTACCCTTTACATATCTTACATCTTCATTTAGCCACACCTTTCTTTAAGAGTCCATACTCTTACTTCTTGTTCTTCTTACTCTCCCAGTAGCCAGAGAGGCAGCCCTTCAAGCATTCATCCCTCTCTAAGCTCTATTCCCTCAATGAGTAGTTCCACACCGTCCATATCTGAGGCACAACATTGTCCACTGGAAGGTCTTCCTTCTGGCCAACAAGGTACATGTACCTTGTTGACTGGAAGGAAAGCCTTCCAGTTGGCAAGGCACATGTACCTTTCCAACTGGAAGGAAGCCCTTCCAGTCAACAATGTTGTGCCTTGTTGGCCTTGAGACTGTACAGTCTCAAGGCCAAGAGTGCAGACAGCCCCTTGAACCCCTCCTACTCCTCCTTGTTGACTCCCCGACTCCCCCCTACGAGTCCCCCTCAGCCTTATTGTGTGGTCGACATCCTCCTCCGACTGGAGTTCTTGCATTTTCCATATTTGTCGGCCCAACAACCCTTGGTGTGATTTGAGGGGCAGATATAACCCCAACAGATGCCCAGTCATGGTCTTTGTGAATCCTAATTACGAGTCATTTCCACACCTCCCTGGACAATTCAACCATGCTTTCTGGGGGGGAGGGGGGAGTTATCGTTCCGACATGATTTATGATGAATGTTTTTAAGTAAATATGGTGAGGTTTATAAGGAGCTGTTGGCCTGAATGGATATTGCACAAGAATGGGAGTGATCGATGTCTGACTCCTTGTCTGTCAATCACTTTGGGGAAGGTATTCCTCCCACAACCCCTCCCAGTCATCAAGAGTATGGTGCCCTCTCAATGCCCAGCAGGAATTATAACTGCCATATTAGGGTTCTTACATACCACTCATCAAACAGGCTTTAATTAAAAGTAACTAGTATATGTAAGACAACTCCTTCTTGCTTGTTTGTGTCATAAACGTACACCCAGCCCGCCACCTTGGTCTCTAGTTCTAATATACCCAAACCAAGGACCTTTGGATCAACCCCATACAAACTCACACATCTCCTCCTCCAACAAAGGCCCATTCCAATCAGTGTATGTCTATGTGTGTATATATATGAGAAGGGACGCAGCATTATATGTAGACAACAGAAACATTATATATTACAAGCAAAACAAAAAAAGGAAAACTGGCTTTTGATGTATATACCCCTTTTTTTCTTTCTAATTACCTATGTAATTTATAAATTATCAACTGTACTTCAAGTTAACAACAACAAAAAAAAAGGGGGGGGGGTGAAAGACTTGACAGGAAAAAGATGGGAAAAACATAATGATAATAATAAAAATGACCTGATCAAAAAAAAAACCAACAAACAAACAAAAACTGATACCATGAAAACCAGACACACTAACACAGAGAGAGAGAGAAAGAGAGAGAGAGAAAGACAAACACACAAAGATTGATGTATATAAGGAAGAAAGAAGCCCGAGTTGACCAAAAACCGAAGAATAGAGCACGAAGACAAACCAACCACAAAAAAAAGACCAAAAAAAAGGTGGGGAGGGGGAATGATGATGATGATGATCTTGTTGAGTTAAAGAAACACTATATACTATAGTGACACTTGCGATCTATCGTTCTTTAAATATGCATGAATAGGGGAGCTTGATTGCGAGTGGTAAGAAGCACCAAGAAGGGATCAAAAGCAACTATAAGAAGAAAAAAAAAATCCGACCAAAGAAGAAAAAGGCAAATGAGCGAGTCAACAAAGAAGAATGCAAAAGAGAGAAAGGGGGAGGGGGTAAAAGGGGGACGTACTTGAATTTACTCTTCCTCGTCATCCTAGAAGCCTGCATCTCTTCCATCCGCGCCTCGAGCTGCTTCTTCGCGTTCTCCTTCGCCCGCCGTTCCTCGCCTAATTGGTTCTCGAACTGGGCCTTCTCGACCTGGACGTTGTTGCGCACATGCTCCACCTCGGCCGTCGCCGCCGCAAGCTCCTTCCGCAACGACTCGTTCTGCGTCGAGATCTTGTCCCGCTCCTTCGCTAGCTCATTCATCTGTAAGCGCGACTTCCGTAGGTTTCTTTCCGTCTCATTTAGCGCTGATTCAACTGTAGTTGTTTTGGCTCACATCAGTTTCAAAAAAAATCCTACTCATTCATCTCTTTTGGATCTTAATCAATTCTCTCACTTACGATTAGTTACCAAGTCAATATTCCCTTTAAGATCCATCTCGCATTGAGACAACTGTTTAGAGAGTTTGGCGATCTACACAAAAAAAAGGATATTTTAACAAATAAGCAAACGACCGGATAAGATGATCATGAGAAGTTGAGCAGGGGACAAACAGCGTTCTCCTGTTCCTCGATCTTCTTAACCATCCTAGGATCGACGGTAGCAGAGTCGACCAGACAGCTAGTAGCAACAGAAGTGGAGGGCGATTCTCTTCCACTGAAGCTGTTGTTAGTATGACTGAGCTGGCTGGAGGAGTTACTAGTCCGAGCGGGTTTACGAATCGTCGAGTTAGAGGAGGGAGTGGTTCCGTTGAGTCCGGGTAGGTTGGGATTGTTAGGGCCGGTTGCGGAGGAGGAAGAGGATGTGGGAGGAGGCGGCGGTGGGATGTTGGGTGGAGGGGTCGGCGGGGGCGGTTTCCCACTCGGTAAGAGATGTGTCCGCGTCGGCAGCCCGGGTAAAGAGGGTGAGTCCGAGCCCATCCCCAGACCTGAACGTCCGATTGACCCGTCATTCGACGGCCGGCCGCTTGGCTGGTGCTCCATGTTGAGCTCCTTAGACTGTACCAGCTCATCCCGCTCCTGCTTTACCCGTTCAAATTCAACCTGCAGATTCGCTAGCTCTTTGGCCATCGTCTCTTGGTCACCCGAGTTGAACCGCTTCATCTCTTCCAGTTGCTTCAATAGCTCTTCTCGCTCCGCTTGCGATTCTAACAACGCCTTGTCTAATGTCGAGAGCGCATCCAATGCCTCCTGCAGTTCCACCTCTGCTTCGCTCTGCGCTGTCTCTCTGTTAGAATCCTGATTCTCAGCCCCTTTGTGCTTCTGAACCTCTTCTTTCAAATAATCTAATAGTATTGCAATCATCAGTAAGAACCTAAATAAAAGGTTCTCAAGATTGATTTGATCACTCACCTAGCTCGTCAGTTAGGAGGTCGATTTTACGTTGGTTGGCTTGTCGCTCTTCGCGCAAGTCAGCAGATAAGCTTGACATCAAGAACTTCTCCTCTAGGGCATTAAGGTCAGTCTGATGCTGTAGTTTGAGCATCTCGATCTTCTCCTCATAGCTGCTTTTGATCTTTGCCAGCTATACACAAAGGGGATATAGTGGTCAGCATTAAAAAAAACAGCATCCCATCGAAACGGGTCGAATCACTTACTTCTGAGCGATATGTGATCGTCGAATCCCCATCCGGAGTGCCGCTCTTCGGACCGCCCGAGGTCTCAGGATTGGTGGTGATAGCCTCGATCTGTTTCTGATGATCGAGCTTGATCTCATCGATCTCTGCCAGATGTTTCTCCTGGAGGGCACTGAGGTTACTCTCGAATTTGCGGGTCCGACGTAAATCTAATTCGGTGAGGGAAGCGACCAAGATCTCTTCGTGTTCGGCCTTGAGGTCGTTAATCTGGTCCTCATGACGGGACTCCATGGACTTGATCTGCTCGGCGTGTTTCGAGATTAAGTCGCTCTTCTCGGCCTCCAACTTCGTACGTTCTTCTTCCAATCGATTGGTCATCGAGCTCCGCAATTCATCTAATTCGTCATGATGATCACGAATCAATTTTTCCATTGTATTGTTCCCCTGATTTGCTCTCGAAGAGAGCGTCGTTGTCAATCGGATTACCTCGCTGGAATGTGACTCTTTCAGTTCTTCGATCGTGGCCTGCAACTTTGATTCGGCTCGCTTCGTGTTTTGGTTGAGTTCATCTTGCAAAGTTTGGAATGCTTGAGCATGTTGCTCTAACAACTGATGGGTTTCCGTATCAAACCGACTGGATTGAACCTGTAAGGCTTCTTCTTGAGCACGGCTTTGGCTTTCCATAAGCTGCTTGCGTTCCTCCTCAAACTCGGCCCGAATCTTGTCGGCTTGTTCCTTCAGCTCCGCCTTAGATTGACTCTGCCATCGATCTTCGAGCTGTCGCAATTCATCCTGTTTGGCCATCAGTTTCTCTTCGCTCGAAGCGATCAACCGGTTCAGATTCTCCCGTTGCTCCAGCTTCAGTTGTTCGACCACAGAGTCGTGTTCAGCCTTCAAAGCTTTAATCTCGGATTGTTTAGCTTCCAACAACTTGGCTTCGAGATCTAAGAGTTGTCGTTTGGAGTCTGCCTTCAAGCTCTCTGAATCCTGCTCCTTGAGCTTCAAAAGCTCTTCTAATTTCGAGAGTCGTTTGCTCATCTCGGGATCAGGAGTGGAAGGATTGGAGAGCCTCTGCCGCAAGGCTTCGATCTCTGAAGACATGTTCACAACCTGGTCTCTCGACAGTTTGACGAGTTCATCATGCTGTCGCTTGGTACTTTGAAGCTTATCCTTGAGGTTTTCGATCAATTCCAAGTGGGCCGATTCCTTCTGAGCCATCGAACGCATCAGATTATCCAAGAGCTTGATATTTTGCGAGTCTTTGACGACGCTCTCATCACCATCATTCAGTAAGATTTGTGATTGAATGGCAGCCAGAACCTTATCAGGATGCGCCAGACTATCTTGATCGATTGAGTTTTCTCGCGAGACATTCGAGACATCTGTTGCATCATGTTTCAAGTCGGTATTAAGGGGTTGTAGGGAGGGCTCAGTCTTCTGGATCGGTTGTGTTAGCTTGCGAGTTTCGCCGTCAACCTCATCGGTCGAGGCGGAAGCTAAGGGGGAGGTGATCGAGTCACTCTGCCGACGAATTTCCCGAATCGAGGTTTCCAAGCCTCGAATCTCATCCTCCCGATCCTTCAATACTTCTTGCAACTTGATCACTTCCTTCTGTAAGCTCTCATAACTCCGTTCACCATTATGTGGCGATGATTGGTCGCCAAGGTTGGGCAATCTCGAGGTTGACTCGGAGCGTGAATCGGATGAAGCCCTGATAATGCTTCCTCGGTTGGATGTTTGGAGGCCCGAAGAGTCGTGTGATAGAGATAAGGAGCGCCCATGTGGCATCAGAGATCCGGAATTTAAACTAACTCGATGGCTTTGGCGTTGAGAGGTATTGATGGTGATCGTCCGATGGGAACTTGGATCGCGCGACATGAGACTATCGCTGGGGAAAACTTCTGATGGCTCGTGTGAGCCACTATCAGCAAGTTCTTCGAGTGAATCGCTTTCTTTGGCTCGTATGCCTTTGCTTTCTGCGTACTTGGAGGATCTTCCAGTCGCAACAGTTGACCCAAAGCCTCTGACAGGCAGAACACCGTGATTGGAGAAAGGGGTGGAGCTTTGAGCAGTCCAGGAAGGAGATTGTAGGATGGGTGATGGCGAAGGTGAACCGAAGTTGGATCCAGAGTTACGAAGATGGTTAGTCGTAGAGTTGATAGATCGCCTCGGCATCCAAGAAGAGGATTGGACGATTCGCGAATCCTCTAGTTGACCAGTCAGGTCCTCTAACTCTTTCACAGAATTATTATACTTCGCCCGGACTTGATCCAGTTCAGTGGCAGTGGTCTCATAGCGCTCTTGGAGCTCATGGAACTCGGCCATCAAGTCACGATCCGCTTGGTCGCCCACGGAACCAGCGGGAAGCTCTGAAGTAGCAGCTGGCGTGGCAGGAGGTGTGAAATTGTGCGGTCCGGCTGAGAGATGAGTGCTTCTGACACTTCGGGCATCGCCCTGATCAGTTGCCACCGAAGGCGAACGCTTTTTGGATGATTCCAGGGCTTTGAGACGTCCAGAAAGTTCATCGTTGGTACGGGAGGTCTCCTCAGTGGTGGCTTCAAGTTTTTGCCTTTCGCTCTCGATCTCATTCTTCTCGTTTTCGAGTTGTGTAAGGGCGACTGGAAGAATAACTTGGAGTTAGCGCCTTCATATATATATATATATATATTGGGTCAACTTATCACGTACCTTCAAGCTTTTGCAATTTGCTTTCTCGTTCAGACAATTGTTCTGTCAGGCGCTGTTGCTGACGCCACAGATCGGCATTTGTACCGGTAAGTTGAGAGTTGAGGGATTCGTACTTAGACAACAAGGCATCATATCTTTCATCGCGATCTGCCAAGGAGGCTTCGAGGGAGGTAATTTGTTTGGTGAGGTCATCGGAATCACTCTTTGACAATTTGGCTTCGAGATCTTTGATATAAGCTTCGGATTCAGCATCATGTTCCTTGATCTTGGCCAATTCTTTCTTCAATTCGACCACCGTTCCATTAGCTGACTCCTCGGAATCGCTGAGTGTCTTCAACTTGAGTTCCAGATCTTTGATGTAGGACTCGTTCTCAGATTCACGTTCAGATAATCGGTTCAGACGAGCCTTGAGCTCAGCTACATAACTGGCTTGGTTCTCATTCAATGCCTGTTCGTTTGAAAGCTGAAGCTCGAGCTCCTTCATCGAATGTTCCGAATGAACGAGAGCGGCCTTAGTCAAGGCTAGTTGTGATTCCAGAGCGGTGATCGACTTCTCATACTCTTCGACGATAGGTTGGATCATGTCATCGAATGCACTTTGTGAGATGGCTTGGGGCTGACTCGAGTTTCTTGAGGCGAGCTTGATGCTGTTTTGAGCTTGGGCGAGATCTGACAATGTCTTGGCGTACTTGGCTTGAAGCTCAGTAAAGTAGCCCTTGAGATCGAGGTATTTAGGACTAAGCTCATCTTGGGCTGAATCTTCCTCGTTGATAGCTGAAAGCGTTCGACTTGCGTTAGCAAAGTCGACAGGTGAGCCACTGTTCTTGAGGCAAGCCAGTTCCTTGCGCAGCTTGATGATGGTTGACTGAAGGTACTCTACGTCTTCCCAACCAACTTCTTGTGCATTGACTTCGGCTCGATTCTTGATATTTCGAGCTCGATTGGCATACTTGAGTGTGTTTAATGTCTCGCCGAGCTGAAAATGATTGATGTTTGATCAGTTTACGTATTCTTGATACGAAAGGTGCGAGTTTAATTGACAGCTCACGTTGTGTTCACTAGGAGATATACAGGCCACCATCAACGTCTGGGCATTTCCACCCAAGCTGTCCTGCAAGAGTCGAGTGAGTTTGCTGTCGCGGTAAGGAATATGAGTGACTGTCTTGGATTTGCTAGGATCGCCGAGGGCAGAGATGACGTTGCCCAATGCGTGTAAACCGGCCTGGAGATGAAGAAGTAAGACGGTTAGGGATTAGCCCGAAAGAGTAAGAGTGAGAGCATGATATAGATGTGTATAGATATCGGATATCCGATGGGGGCAGGTAGGAGATCAGGTTAAGACTGACGTTGATTGAGATGCCCTCCTTGACCCTTTCGGCAACCGCAGCGGTCCTCTTGAGACGTTCACTCCCAGCAAGATCGACGAAATGGAACTTGCTGGAGATCGTAGACCATTCGCCCTCATCACCGAAATCGCGCCCGTTGGAAGAGGTGGGACTTAAGATCTTGGATGCCCGCTTGTTGGAGCTGCTGGTGCTGCTGGCAGCGGAGAGCTTACTCTGGGTGAGGTTGAGACTGAAGATAGCATGAGAACGAGAGGATTGTGCGTTCATCTCGGTGGAGTTAGTCTGGCGGACTTGACTACCCTGTTCGAGTAAGCTCAGTGCTTCACTCGCCCTGGTCACCTTGACCTCCTTGAGCCCAGACCAGATGATATTTCCATCCTTATCTTCCCTGATCGTCACTTGAGGGAGTGTATTAGCAGGGGCAGTCGAACAGGCGATCAGATCGATTAGATCTTCGTTATAGATCTCAACGTAGGAGGTCTTGACGTTGATCTGATTTGATTTGGTTGTCTGCTGTTGAATCTTGTTGAAGATGCTGTGAACGGCGCGTGGGATGATCCCGGTGCGATCCGAGTTGAGGACTTGGTCGGCAGGGTCAACGGACGAGTCTTCTGAGCCGAGCTCGTCAGTGAACCGATCTGTTCCCATCGTATAGGACTTTCCCGAGGAGGTTTGGCCATAGGCGAAGACGGTGACGTTATAGCCTTCAAGGAAACGACTGATGAGAGCTTCGACGGATGTCCAAACTTGCTGTTGACCTTCCTCTGGTGAAAAGACACGATCGAAGGTGAACTTTTGGGTTGATTTGGTGGAGGCGGCAGAGGGAGCTTCGACAGAGATAGTGGTTGAGTTGATCTGGAATATGAAAGTGAAGAAGAAGAAGAAGGGTCAGATGAGATGGATGATTGGTGGTGAGTGAGTGTTTTGAGTGACTCAACTGGAGTGATGACCGTACGCTGGAAGCGGGTGGGTACGTTGATATCATAGGAGGAAGGTCTGATTCTGAGGATGACTTGGACGCTGCTACTGGAGGCTTGATCGATTGAGTTTGAATGAGCATGGCCCGTGGAGCTGGACGGGTTGAAGGTCGAGTTGGAGGGGAGGGTGGGTGTTTGTTGTCGTTGCTGCTGCTGATGATGATCATGATGAGGCGGATGCTGTTGAGTTGTTGGTTGAGGATGAGAGTTTCGAAGGTGATGGGAAGTTGGGTGAGTGATGGTCGGATGCGGAGTTGTGGGATCGGCTGAGGTTGGAGGAGAGTTGTACTGAGTTCCTAGCAGGGATAGCCGAAGGCGTAGAGGAGCGAGGTGCGAGGACTGGGGTAGAACTCCTTGAGTGGTTGTTGGTGTTGTTGTTCGTGAATGATGGGGTTAGTCGACCCGAAGGTGTCAATCGACCCGAGCCGGTTGGAATTCCAGAAGCGGAGCCGATGATGGTATGACGTGGGTTGGGGATACCGGAGTGATGAGACATGCTGAATGAAGAGAGTGTTGAGTGGTAGAAGGGGAGGGAGGGAGGGAGGGAAGGGAAGGGAGAGGGTCAAGCTCGAGCAAAAGTTAAGAATCGGATTACAAATTATTTACGAAAGACTGAGGAGAGGAGCCAGACAGACAGACCACAGATGGCCAAATTCACACATTCAGCCTTCATCACCTTCAATCCCAACTGAACATGACAGCTTCGTCAACAAACTCACACACTCTCCAACTGCTCGTGATCTCAAACTCACTCACACTCACACATCATCAGATGTATCCCTGCAATTATCTACATAGGAGCAGGGGAGGGCATCTTCAAACACTCCTTCAGCCAAGTTTCACGTAACCCGAGCACTGATCAGAATGTGATCCAACCTCTTCCGCAGCTTACATACAAACAGACCACCACCAATCACAATCACAATCACTCTATAGAGACTTCCTCAACCATCATACATTAATAACAATCCGAGTGGATCATGTATCATCAGCTGGGCTGTCGAACAATCCGATGAGCAGGCAAGGGCAGCTTAAAAAAAACCTATGCAATCAGGTCTGGGGTAACATCCTCACGATGAATTCACAGTGCAGCCAAAAAAGCAGCTCCAGTCCCATTAATTTCCAGGAGACTCTCAAGGTTTAGGGGATGCCATTTTGACCCACAATCCCTCCCCCCCCCCCCCAATCAAACTTGCCTGAAAATTGAGCACCAAATGAGGGTTTAAACATCAATGACACTAATTGTATTGTAGCTTAACAGCGTCAAATTCTATCAACAATTAGTTTAGCACATTGGAATTCCCAAATGGTTGCACTAACACTATCCCTAAGAAAGGGCCCAGTCCAGTGGATTTCAGTGGGCTTTTTGCCCCTTTTTGCTGCTCAAAGTGCTGTAGCAAGGCATCAAACAGCCCAGTGGTGTTAGACCATCTTGTGAGCCTTAATCTATTACTCTAATCCGCCAGTAGCTATGAAGAATTACCAAGAGGTAAGATTGCTGAAAGCTTAGAGATAGTTTTTAAGGAATCCAAGTTCTCTGGCAAACGCTATGAGAAATGGGATGTTTGATAGTTATAATGATAATGTTTTTTATTATAATGAGAATTTTATAATAACAAAAATGAAATGATAAATGATGAATAGAAATATTGAGATAAGAAAGGAAGAAGAACAACAGAGAGATTCACAATCAAACAATATATATATAAAATGATTGTGACAATCATATGTCATTCAAACACAGAAGAAATACACATTGCCAATTAGATCACACATCATCATGGATTGACAACGCTAACTAACTGTGCCTGATTCTCAAGTAAAGAATCAACAATTAGCTAAATAATCTAACTAAATCTATAAGATAACAAAACATCGTTACACATCTCCACTGCGTTCCGTATTTTTGGGTCCCTATTGATCAAAAATACGGACTCCAAAATGTGTGTAGGGACTCAGAACCCTGTTCTACCACACCGGGTAGTCCTTAAATCACCTGTATTGGTGTAGTGTTGACAGGCTGTCACACTAGTTTGAAGTGCAATGTTGTGTGACATTCACATTGAGGTGTACAATCCATGGTCCCTATCCAATCCCTCGATCCAGGGTCTGGAGAGGGACCATGGATGAAATCCGTAAAATACGGACAACAATGGGGACCACAATGGGCGGTGTTTTTTGGGCCACGGTCCCTAAATGCGGGATAGGGACCCGATTTAGCTACCGCGGTGGAGATGGTCTTATGGGTGTTTGGGGTTTTGATTGGTGATTGTGGGGGTGTTCTGTGTGGTCAGGGGTCTGGTCTGGGGGTCTGGGGTCTGATTTCAGGGTTCTGAGATTTTGGCCTGAACACAAGTGCGTCTGAGAGGGGTACTTCTAGAGTGGATTTTACTGCTCTGAGATGGTTTAATCTGATATGAATTAATCTCTAAGTGCCCTTCTAATACAAGAGGTTGTAATTCTTCTATAAGATGCCTAATCTTAGATTAATTACTATGAGATGGGTATTCTAGGACTAACTAGTATAAGAGTTATTTTCTAGATCTAGTCTGTGAGATACTTTTTGATTAGTAGTTTGATTTACCAGTCTAAGATGGATGTAGTGACTTTTATATATTTATACAGGGTATTTGTATAATTATTATTCATGATGAATTGAATATCTTAGGCCTGATTAGTGATTTATTTTAACTATGATTTAACCCAGTAATAATTACACAATTTATCCTGTAGCTTACCCCTTCTCCTCTAATGTTTTAATACTATTTATGTGTAATAAAGTGTTTTTAATTATGGGCTATGGGTTTGATTGTTCTTACCACAACGGTGCTGACATTGAGCGCTTTGAGACCAGCATTTAGTATAAGTGCCACTTTGTGGCAAAAGCAATGGATGTGGTTGTTTGCAATATCAAGATTAAATCCAGTGTCTTGTTTGATTAAGCAATCCACTTCAACAGCGATGGTGTGATTGTTTGATGCTGATTCGGTGGTTTGTGCTAAGATCTTTCTTTTTATTGATCCAAATTTTTCTGACTTCTGTTTTTTTTTTCTGTGTTGAAAAAAAAAACAGAAGTCAGAAAAATTTGGATCAATAACAAGAAAATCAGAAGTATAATAGAATTAACACCTATCTTGGTATGAAGTGAGAACTTTTTGAGTATGTTCACAAAGGGGAAGGCCAAGAAATTCCCCTTGTGGGTCCACAAGATATATTTGAGACCAAGGTGCAAGATCTTATATTCCTATTTATTGGTAACATAAGGGACCAATATTCCCATATGTTGAGTTTTTGGGCTCTGAAACCAGCTGAAGTTGAAGACTTTTTGAGAAAAGGGCACAAAAAAGGTTAAAGGCCTTTTTTGGGAGAGGTTCACGGAAAATGAGTGAAAGTCAAAGAACCAATATTTTTTTATTCACAGCATCTAGTCATGTTTTAAATAGACTAAATACAAGTGGTTAAAAATTGGTTGTGAACAATGAATAAAAACATAATGAATAAAAGCTGAGAGAAAGAGACATGGTTTTTTTGGAAGAAACAAACCAGACAAGACATCTCAGTCTCTTTTAGACAAGCCGGAAAAGTTAATCAAAAGAAAGCATGTCAAAATTCACAAATAGTTAGAGTTGTTAATTCTAAGTAAACAGTTTTAAATAAGGGCCTTAATAAAAAAACGCGGTTTTTCCGCGTTTTGACGCGGTTTTGATGCGCCGGAGCACACGCGGTTTCCGCTTTTAGACGCGGTTTTTTAATTAATTTTTTATGGGTTATTTTTTGAGTTTTTTTGAATTTTTAAAGTTGTTTCCTACACTATAAAAGGCGTAGAATTTAATGGTAAAAACCATTTTCCATAAAGATGAATTTTGATTATTAATTTTTTTTCCACTTATTTTTCAATTAATTGTTTGCATGCATGTATGTACCTTATTTTTTATGCTTTTGTGAAATTTTAAAATTATTTCCTAGGTTTCAATGTGTGTAGAATTTAATGGTGCAACTCAATTTTTTTAAAACTCAACGGTTCATTTTTAATACTGAAATTAGACCCATTTTTTCACTTAATTTTTTACAGCTTAGAGCATCTCCAACGGACCCGCAATCGGGCCACCGGGGGCGAACTTTGACCACCCGGGTTCAATTTTCAACCTCCAACGGACCCGCGGATCAACCCTGAAAACATCGCGGGGGGCAGTCAAACCCGCGATGACCTGCTGACTTCCGCGGGTCACCTCCCAGCCGCAATTAAACCCTTCCTCTCCAATCGCCATCACCACACCTCCATCAACCAATCGAACACCTCCATCACCCCATCAATACACCTCCACACCAACACAAGAACGGCAGCCACCAAGAATAGTCGGATTGTTCCTATTTTTCAGTTGATTCTTTGATTGTTTCTTTTATTGTGTTGGATGAACATATTGTTTCTTCCTTTTTTGATTTGATAATCAGATCATTTCTGTCTTCAGTTTTCATATTTTCCATTCCCTTTCCACTAATTCTTGTCTTGCTTTTTTAAACAAACTGGGAAAATAAACAAGAGAAAACGATAAAGTGAAATTGCAAGTGATCAAGGAACTGATCAAGTGAGATTGCAAGTGAGTGAGAAAACAATAAAAAAACAACAAAGTGAGATGGCAAGCGAGAAAAAACGAGTAACGACGATATCACATCAACTCAAAAGCAAAGATGAGTTAAAGGACAAGTGAGAATCGAAACAGAGATCGTCATCATTGTCCATCATCAGAGATGTCCATGGTGCCGAAATGATGATATGTGGTGCAAGCTCGATTGAATAGTGTTGGGCAGAAGGAGTTCATGGGATACATAGCCATCAGAGCCAGTCCATAATTGGAGCAGACCCGGAGACTCTGTGAAATGTGATCGCAGGCCGGAGAAACACGTGTCAACTGCCCCCCGGACCGTTGGGAGATGCTCTTAATTCTCATCATTTTTTGACATTTTAAATTTATTTCCCACACTTTAAGACATGTAGAAAATTATGGTAACAACCATTTTTCCCCAAAATGAAAACTATACCTTGGATGCCGCATTTGACACGTTTTTTTAATTAATTCCTCACTTTTTCACCTAATTGTTTGCATACATGTGTGTACCTTATTTTTTATGCTTTTCTGAAGTTTTAAAGTTGCTTCCTACATTTAAAAGTGTGTAGAATTTGATGGTAACATCCAATTTTCTTAAAACTCAACGGTTCATTCTGAATACTGTAATTAGTCATATTTTTCAATTGATTTTTAAAAGCTTAATTTTCATTATTTTTTGACATTTTAATTTTTTTTCCTCCACTTTAGGACATGTTGAAAATGATGGTAACAATCACTTTGCATCAAAATAAAAACTGTATCTTGAATAATGCCTTTGACGGGTTTTTTTAATTAATTCTTACATGCTTAATTATCCTTATTTTTTGGAATTTGAAGTTCATTTCCTACACTTTGAAAGGTTTCAAAATTGCTGGCTGTATCCATTTTGCATTCAAATAAAATTTGTATACAGTACAAATTATGCAAGAAACGGGGTACACTCATGTATTTAGATTGAAGCTTGTATATTTATGGAAATTGGACTTCACCATTCAATTCTACACATCTTTAAATGTAGGAAATAA